TTTAACGGCCAGATTAAAAAACAGCCAGTAGCTTCACAACGAGAAGCATAAACACGCCAGCTACAACCCTCCAATTTCTTATTCGAACAAATAGCAACCACCCGCTTCTTGTCATTGCCGGCGTTTAAAAAATTAAATCCTACTTCAAGAGCGTACTTGCACAATTTCAAACGGAACTCCTCTGCACCACCGTCAAACTTCTGCCCTACATGATGTATGTACGTCTCCCACTCATTCGACAACAAAGGCTTAGCACTTGCTCTCTTCGACCTGCCCAAAAATTCATTTCTGTCTTCGACAGTACTAGAACACGACGACTCGCCCTTTTCACATGCTATCAACTCCTTATTTGCACAAAAATCACCACTATATTCACTGCTCCCGCATAAATCCTTCACTAAAATATCAACACTCTTCTCATTTGATACAAACAAAAATGACCTCATCATGTCCAAATCGCTATCCGTTTCTAGAAAACAACTCGGATAACTGGGCAGCGAATACCGTAACGTAAAACAACCCAACTGCAAACCCTTAAACCTTAGACACAAAGTCTTCAAAATATCAACCATGGATGTCTTTGATGAAACTGAAAACATAATGGTTTCCGACTTATATGTGCACTTGGCAATGACACACACCTCCATTAGCCTTGAAAATGCAAACAAAACAACAAACAAAAACAGAAAACAATTTAAATCAGTAAATAATGTACATGAGCAGTTGTAAAATTCCAATAGACTTCCAAATATTAGTCTGAAATCGAATTATGAAACAAGAAACTGCAATGCAGTTTCTGCCAAAGTACTAAAACTAATATCAAAACACATTTAAGTAGGTCAGCAGTTGTAACATTCCAATATACTTGCAAAAATTATTCTGAAATTGAATTATCGAACAAGAAACTGCGCTGCAGTTTCTGGTCTCGAACAAGAAACTGCACTGCAGTTTCTGGTCAAAATCTGCACTGCTGCTCAAAAGGTAAAGGCATAATCAAAGTACTAAAACTAATATCAAATCACATTTAAGTAGGTCAGCAGTTGTAACATTCCAATATACTTGCAAAAATTATTCTGAAATTGAATTATCGAACAAGAAACTGCACTGCAGTTTCTGGTCTCGAACAAGAAACTGCAGACAGATGTAGTTTATGACAGAAAATCAAAACAATTCGAATAGAAACCAAAAGGAAACCACGATAAAAGTACTAAAACTAAATTCCATAAACATACAAGTCGACATAATCGAAAACAGGTTCTAAAGTACTCATACCTCAAAACTTAGGACTGCCAAAAATCTCCACAACCAAACAGCAGCTTAAAATCAAATCTGATCACGAAACGAAGAATATAGGGTTTAGCATAGAACGCCACAAGATCCGCCACAAGATCGCGCCGCAAAATCGAGCCACAAAACTGAGCTCGAAATACCCGAACTAAAGAGAACAGAAATCACCCAAAACTGACAGTCATTCAGCATGAAAATCGAACGAAAACGTAGCAGAAAAAAGAAGATAGAAAAACGAAGAAAATAAAAGCAAAACCTACAAGAAAATTGAGCTCCAATGGCAGAACCCAGCTCTGAAACGAAGAAGAAAACGAACGAAAGAGAAGAACTCGCGCGTCGTTTAAACGTTGAGAGGCAAAAGCGTCATTTAATTTGTAGGTTTACAGATGGGCCAGGCTTTTTAAGAGAAAATGGTAGAATTGTCTTTTTATTTGACATTTTTAAGCTAGCCCAACGAATCTAGGCCAGCCTTGGGCCTAATCTAAAATAGCTATTTTTTATTAAGTATTAAAACCCAAACTAAAATACCTAATATCTCACTTCCTAATTAGTAAACTTAATTATGTCTAATACCTAATTTTCCTTAAACTTTTTCTGGCCAGAAAGGGACTTTGGTTTTTACAATGAGACTGTATGAGAGCAAAACTTATTTTGCAAAGTGGGTAGACGGAGAAAGAAAGTGAAGACGAGCATATCGAGCCAACTTGGTTGCTGCGTTCATGGCCTATAAAAACAATGAGCTATACTTTTTGTCAAAAATACAAAATAAATAAAAATTATCAGAGATAGTTTTAGAGCCATCCAGCCCGCACCTGAGAAACGAAAACAAAGAAAACCAAGGAACAAAAATGGAAGCAGCGATGGGATTAATGCGGAGAATGCCTCCCAAGCACACCGAGACGGCTTTCTCCACCCTCCTCTCCCTTCTGCCCCAACACTCCTCTAATATCCTCTCTCAAGTCGATCTTCATATTTGGATGGTGGATTGGGTGGGTGGATATGGCTGGTGGTGGGTTTGGGTGGTTATGGATGATGGTGGGGTTGGTCGCAAATAAAGGAGAAATGAGAAAGGATTTGGGGATAGGGATGGTGGATGGGGTTGGGAGAAATAACTGGGTGGTTGTTTTTTTTTTTTTCATTTTATTTATTAATTGTTTAAAAAGTGAAAATACAATTTTGCCCTTACACGCATTTAGCACGTACAATTAAACTAAC